TCATCTAACTGTGAGCCGCAGGAACTAAGTTTACCACCTAATATATAATGATGTTTTTCTCGCCGCTACGTGAAACATTCTTGTTACGTTAAATCCGATTGCATTAAATTAAGTTACACGAATTACCTTTTTACTTTAATCTTCATTTTGTATTTGCGTTATTCCAATAATGCTGATTTATAAAAGTTTGTTTAATGTTAACCCACATATCTCACTGTTTAACTATAGCTAACCCTTTCAACTTTTAAATGTTGTATCTTTTACAATAACTTTTCTCATCAATTTACCACTATTATTAATCTATCCGAGAACCAAATTATGTTATTAGTATAATTAATAAACTGTTTTATTCGAAATGGCCTAAATTTAGTCAAGTCGTTAAAAGCTATTTATTCATTTCTTTTCAATTACCTAAATCTAAATTCCCCTCTCAACACGCTCATATGGTCCTATCCCAGATATAGATATTAAGTTCTTTGACCTAATAAAGGACCACCCTACGTTCTGTGATCGGAGTAAATGGGCCTCTCCGGACCTTGACCTGATCTGCAGATCTACCAGTACGTTTAGGACTCGCGAGTGCGCGAGTAAATGATGTTTGTTGGGTACATCCTCTTCCAGGACGTAACAATATTTTCTCACATTTTTCCTCAGCCATCCGATTTAACGAACAAACGAGCGGAACCTCGTAACAATCTTTTCGCGTAGATGGTCTTCTGGATCGCGTTCCACTCACACAATTTTGCTATATCTTCAAATTTCTGGATCCGTAGTTTCACATTTTTTTCCTCATCACCATTGAAAATGTCAATCGACTCTTTAACATATTTGAAAGTCGGCACAAATTTCGGTCGATTATGTACTTCGTTTGTCCTGCCATCACCAGCACCATCTTCGTCTCGTTCGTCTTCGCTCTCGTCGCTGAATCCGTCGTCATCGTTTTCTTCTTCGTGTTGATTCTCCAGGACTAGAGCCGCTTTCAATCACGTCACCAGATTGGCTTTGTTGTCCGTCGCCTTTAATTTATGCGTTTTAAGAGCTTTTCTCTCAGCTGGGCCACCGTCATTTCGTCGACTCGTGCGTCGCCTGCGTCGTCGTTCCGCCGTTCGCCTCCGTCAGCCATATCGTCTTCTTCCTCTTTTCCGATCTTTCCGTCGGTTTCAATTTCTTGGTATTCCGGACGAGCCCCCAAGTTGTAGTGGATATTTTAAGTGGGATAGGAGAGGTTTCAAAAGAAAACTGACTCAAATCGAGGAAAAATCAAAGAAAAGCGTTTAATGGTTTGTACACAGTTCCGAGCCTCGTCGTGTCTCGTTTCAATCTGTTGATTTCTCGTTGTCATGTCGCTTATGTTCTTCACGCTGTTTGTGCGCACTTGTTTTTTTCTCGACCTCCGCCGAAACTTATCGATATATTGCTACCATTATTTTTATAATATTACAATATTCACACGTCTTAACTATTCAGGTAGGTACGAAGGATATAAAAAAAACTAAAACTTAATTAATTCTATATTAATTTATCTAACAGACGTTGGAAAGTAGCAGGAGCGCCGGTGAGACTATACGGCATCCGTTTGAAGTGGAACAGTCTCTTTCCAGGGACGCGAAAAGCTGTGACCTCCCGACTATCCTCCGCTAACGGAATTTGAAAATAGGCCTGGCTGAGATCTAGCGTCAAAATATAACGCGCTGCCAGTAACTTATCTAGAATCCCGATCATGTTGGGGATTAGATAAGCGTCCGTTTTTGAGATTTCATTTACTTTCCTAAAATCGAGGCAGAATCGATATTTCCCGTTTGGTTTCTTTACCATAATAATGGGGTTCGACCATTCGCTGTTAGAAGGTTCGATGACCCCGGCAGCTAACATCTCATCTACCTTTGACCTAATGGCTTCCTGCACCTTGGAAGAGACCAAATAGCAGCGCTGACGTATAGGCGCATGCTGTCCTATATTTATTCGATGCTCGGCTAGGGAGGTGACTCCAACGCCTTCGAACTTGACCGGCAACCGTTTCTTCAAAAATGCTTCTAACCTACGCACCTGATCTGAAGTGAGCTCGGGCAATCCACTACATGCGTAGTCCCACGACCCCTCACGCTCCTCGAATTTATACCACTGCTCGAGCTCCGCATCGAAGCTCCACATTCCGGCAGAAAAATTAATATTCATACCGAATTGACGTAAAAAGTCGACACCTAAAATGCACGGTATCGGTAACTTCATCCAAACGTAAACCTAAAGTCGGTGCTGCACCTCCTTTAATTTTATCGGTAATTTCATCTTTTCCGTCAGCTGCGTGATTTCTCCTCCCGCGGTTTTAACGCAGGTATTGCCATTTGTCTCGATTTTCAGCCCTAATCGTTCTACTAGTCGCCGGCCGTCCGGGCCTATGATAGTCTAACTTGAACCCGAATCTACTAATGCTAACAGCTCGCCTTCAATGGTGACCTTCACGTAAGGCAACGTTGAGCTACCGAAACTCGTAAAATTCGTATAGATTTCGGCAGCATCTTTTCTCGCAACTTTTGATTTGCGGGTGGTTGTCTCGATTGTCGGGGCCGCGGCCTCCCGCTTCAGTGGCTCCCATATCCGTTTCCCGCACACCTCAGACATTCCCGCACCGTACATTCCTCGCGACCGCATTGATAACAATAACGTCGTGGGAACTCTGCGCAATCCCTCGCGACATGTCCTGGCTTTCGACAATTCCAACAGCGCCTTTCCCGTTCGCGCTCTCGCGGTCTCTCGGACACCAGGTCCGAAGTACCGGTTACTCGCGGAGTCTATCCGGTTATTAAGGACTCGGCCCTCGCCGCAGCATCCCTTTCGCTCCGCGCCCTTCCGTCCGCGGGTCTAAAGTGCACTTTTCCGTGTCGGTTCCCCCGTGGTGGCTCTTCGTGATTCCTACGAGCGGCAACAATCCCTACGAGCGCCCTTACTTCCCGTGTCGACGAATGATAAGCTAATCGCGGAAAGAGTGCCTGCTCGGGAGGGGTTGGCGGCCGAAAACTCAAATCGGCTCGCACCTCGGCTTCGGCGTGAGTCGCGGCACCCTCTAACGTCTCGAAACTATGGTATTCGTCCCGGCGAATACAGGCTCAATAATGCGGCAACATATTTCTTCGGGCGAGTTCGAGCTGTTCAGCTATCGGCCACGGGGGGTCTAAACGATTGAGCAGAGTTTTTAATCGCGTCAGATAATCGACCGCGCGTTTCTGCTCGCCTTGCCTACGTCGCTCGACTTTCCTACGCAACGTTCTCTGATAATCAGGTGCGCTAAATCGTCGGCGAAATGCGAACTCGAATTCCCGCCACTTAGACCAACGGGACTGTCGTTGTCGATGCCGATACCATAGCCTAGCTGTGCTCGTAAGACACAGCAGCAACCAATGTAATAAATCATGGCCCGTTGCCGATACTAATTCTCTACATGCTTCGATGTCCGCGAGAAATTCGTCTTCCCCGCTATCCTTGCTCGAAAACTTTACCAGGTGTATGCATAAGTTTTTTCCGGTTTTTTGCTAAAAAAAAACACGTAATTTTCAAAGGAAATTAATTTTTTTTTATTCAAAATATTGGCTATCGGCTTCTACACATTTCGCCCATCTTTTAGGTAATTTATGAATACCATGCCAGAAAAACTGCTTGTCTTTTGCGGCAAACCATTCGTCGAGCTATTTTCCAACTTCCTCGAAATTGCTGAAGGTCTGCGAGCGCGTGCCCCATTGATGCGAAGAGGTGATAGTCAAATGGCGCCAGGTCTGGAGAGTACGGCGGGTGCGGAAGGATGTCCCATCCAAACGATTTCAAGGTGTCTTTNGGCGCATTGTCGTGTAACAAAATCACTTTGCCATGTCTTCTGGCCCATTCCGGTCGTCTTTCGATTAATGCGTGGTTTAAATTAATCATTTGTTGGCGATAGCGTTGTGTATTAACGGTTTCGCCGGGCTTCAAGAGTTCATAATACACAATACCGCTCTGGTCCCACCAGACACAGAGCATGGTCTTCTTGCAGAAGCGATTTGGCTTTGGTGTTGATAGACCGGCTTCGCCAGGTGAAAGCCACGATTTTTTCCGCTTTGGGTTTTCAAAATAAATCCATTTTTCGTCACCCGTCACAATTCGATACAAAAATGATTTCCTTTCGTGGCGTTGAAGCAGCATTTCACAAGTGACTTTGCGATTTTCCATTTGACGTTCATTCAAATTGTGTGGGACCCATTTACCGAGTTTATTGATCTTTCCCATTGCTCGTAAACGTCTGCTGATTGTTTCTTGTGATACATGTAATGCTTCTGCTAATTGCCGTTGAGTTTGAGTT